CCCTTAAATAAAAAAAAAAAAAAAAAAAAAAAACTGAAAGATATCCTTTATCTTTTAGTTTTAGACTTAAACAAATGAGTTACAAAGGTAAAACGTTAGTGTTTTGTTTAGAAAATATAACTACTAATAAAATCTGAATTTTAAAATGAAATTTTAAAAATATTTTTAACACCTTTACCTTAATAAAAAAATCATTCAATGAACGAAAATCGTTTATTGACATTTTATAGATGTTAAAAACGTGATAGTAAAAATATTTTTTATTTTCTTTTTTAAAAATTTAAGGTGTTTTTAAAATAATAATATTAACAAAACTTTTTTTTTGAAATACTAATTTTGGAAAGCTAATATGCAATAAGTTTATATTAATGTATGGATTTTAATTTATGAATATTGATAATTTTGTTTGAATGCATATTGTATATTAGAGCATTTTGACTAGAATCAACAGCTTCACCGGAGTAGCGTATAAAGATGATCCAACCATAATGGCTTGGGAACTCATGAACGAGCCTAGATGTCCTTCAGATCCTTCGGGGAATACGATCCAGGTTCTCTCTAGATTTTCCTTTCCTTTCTTGGTTTCTTGGCTAAAACTCACCGCCAAAATATATTGTCCATGTTTAGGTGACCTTTGTAACAAATTTCTTTGTTCTCCTCTCCAATTAATGTGTGCCAACGGAGACGCTGGGCCCTTAAAAAGTTGGGTGAGATCCTACATCGGAGAGAGGAACAAATCCACACCCTTATAACAAATACTTTGTTTCCCTCTCCGGACGCTGGAGCCTTAAGGGGGTGAGTGAGATCCCACATTGTTTGGAGAGCGGATCTAATCCACACTCTTATAACAAATGATTCATTCTCCTCTCCAGCTAATGTGTGCCAGCGAGGATGCTGGGCCCTTAAGGGGTGGGTGAGATCCCACATCAGTCGGAGAGGGGAACTAATCCACACCCTCCCTTATAACAAATGCTTCGTTCCCCTCTCCAACTAATGTGTTTCAGTGAGGATGCTGGGGCCTTAAGAGGGTGGGTGAGATCCCATATCATCTAAGAGGGGAACGAATCCACACCCTTATAACAAATGCTTCGTTCCCCCTCCAACTAATGTGTTTCAGTGAGGATGCTGGGGCCTTAAGAGGGTGGGTGAGATCCCATATCATCTAAGAGGGGAACGAATCCACACCCTTATAACAAATGCTTCGTTCCCCCTCCAACTAATGTGTTTCAGTGAGGATGCTGGGGCCTTAAGAGGGTGGGTGAGATCCCATATCATCTAAGAGGGGAACGAATCCACACCCTTATAACAAATGCTTCGTTCCCCCTCCAACTAATGTGTTTCAGTGAGGATGCTGGGGCCTTAAGAGGGTGGGTGAGATCCCATATCATCTAAGAGGGGAACGAATCCACACCCTTATAACAAATGCTTCGTTCCCCCTCCAACTAATGTGTGCCAGCGAGGACGCTGGGGCCAAGGGGGTGAGTGAGATCCTACATCGGTCGGAGAAGGGAACTAATCCACACCCTTATAACAAATGCTTTGTTCTCCTCTCCAACTAATGTGTGCCAGCGAGAATGCTAGGCCCTTAAGGGGTGGGTGTGATCCCACATTGGTCGAAGAGGGGAGCGAAATATTCTTTATAAGGGTGCGAGAACGCATTTTTAAAATCGTGAGGAAGTTTGATGTATGAAATATTGGGGCAGGCGTGGATTAGAGAAATGGGTTCATACTTGAAATCAATAGATGGGAAGCACTTATTAGAAGCTGGTTTGGAAGGGTTCTACGGACAATCAAGGAATCAAGGGAATCCAAACTTTCAAGTGGGAACTGATTTCATTGCCAACAATCAGATACCTGAAATTGACTTTGCCACAGTCCACTCATATCCTGATCAATGGTAACAATAAAGCTTCTTCCCTTCTTCACTTCTTCAATCCATTAGGAGAAATGAAATGGGTGATTTCTACTGATGTTTGTAGGCTAACTGGTTCTACTAATCAGAATCAGCTCTCATTCCTAAACACATGGCTCAATGAACACATCCAAGATGCACAGAACATTCTGCACAAGCCAGTTCTCTTTGCTGAGTTTGGGAAATCTACAAAGAACTCTGCCTCTGATCAAAGGGATCAGCTTTACAATGCTGTTTATTCAGCTGTGTACTCCTCCGCTCGAGGCGGCGGCGCAGCTGTGGGTGGATTGTTCTGGCAACTATTAGTTGAAGGAATGGATTCTTTTCGAGACGGGTACGAAGTGATACTTAGCGAGAACCTGTCGACTGCTAACTTAATATCTCAGGAGTCTAGAAGGCTGATTCGCATCAGGAAGATGTATGCCAGACTCAGGAACATTGAGAAGTTGAAGAGAGCAAAGGAGATAGGAAGAGCAGAGTGGAAGGAGGCCTTAAAGGGAGGCAACAACAACAGTCCTGGAAATTAAGCAAAATATTGACTACTTAATATAAGTTGTGAGGTCAAGAGATGAGAGTTTTTGCTCATCCAAAAGCTGAATGTGGTGCCTTGTGATATAAGGATTGAAATCAAGAGTTGTCTTAGGAAATATTTTGGCTTTCTACATTTTACATATAAGAAAAGAAGATAAATATTTACGCCAATTATTCATTGCTGAGAATTGTAGGTTTCAAGCCTCCAGCAATTGCTTCCTTTTCAACCCTCACCTATCTCTTGGCCTGACCACCACAAGGCTGCTGCCATTGGAATTTAAATAATGGTTCCATCTTTTATCTTCGCATTCTTCAATGTGACTGTGATACCGGATCTTATATAAAATCCTTCGTCTGGTCTCTCAGCCTCTTGAACGCCCTGAAAAAGTTACAAGCGCGCTTTGATCATATAGCTTCATAATTTGGAGAGTCTGCAAATTCTTAGAATACAATAAACTCATGAACCAAACTCAAGTTTTTGTTGCTTATTTCTTTGTTCAAATTTAAACACAGATTAAACAATTTAAACTTCGTAAACTTTAACGTATTAAAACTACGAGCCAAACATCCCTTAAAAGAGTATAAAATTTATACTTACTTCAGTGTTCGCAATAACCACATTTCTTCCAATCTTGGCATTCTTGTCGATTATGCAATTCCTGAAGTAGCAAAGGATCAGAAACAAGATCGAATCCACGTACGAATAATTTCATGATAATCAGTGAGAGATAATAAAGTAATGGTTATATTTAACTAATAAAAGGATTGCACATAGTTTTATGTAATAATCCAATATTATTTTTTTTGGGTTTTCCTTTATGGGCTTCCTCTCAAGATTCTAAAGACGTTTCCAAACTTTTTAAGAAATGCTTCGTTCTCCTCTCCAACCAACGAGGGATCTCAAAATCTACTCCCTTGAAGCCCAGCATCCTCGTGGACACTAGTGTTTGGCTCAAGCTCACTACTAATAAATATGGGCTCTCACTTTTTTTGCATATTACCTGATTTTGGTGTTCTCTCCGATGCCAATTGGGATCTTTCCGTCGGCAAGCAGAGATGCAATTTCAGATTCAGTCTGATAGTAGTCCGCACCCATCATCATAGTATCCTAGAATGCAAAACCAACCAATCCAAACATTATAAGGTTTTGAAGGACATGAAACTATGTGACAACACCAAGTAACAAACAGCTGCTATGAATTTAATTTGGAGCAATCTATCTATACTATCACAAATTAGCATGGCCAGTTCTCTTGTTTTAGTTCAAGTTTAGCCAACCAGCTTTTGAAACCGCATTTAGTCTTCTTGTATCCTATTGGGAAGGAGGGAATGGCTCACCTTAAGCTCCACACCGTACTCCAATCGAGAGCGCACACCAACGATGGAGTGTTCAACATTACATTCTCGGAGAAAGCAACCATGAGATATTATTGCATCTACAATCTGCAAATACAGTTTCTTTTGATATACAAGAATCAAACGGATGATGCAGAGAGCAAATTTGAGTTCCATATCTTACCCTGCATTTCTCAACTTTGGAAGGGGGCAAGAATCTAGGTGATGTATAAAATGGAGTCTTTGGATCATAGAACTTAAATTTTGGGCCCTGCATGAAAGACACAACTAATCTTCAGCTTACGTAACTACTTTCTTGTGTTAGGAGAAAGACCTTGCATTCATTACACTTGGGCATGTTTTGTTTGAAACTTTCACAGGCAACTTAAGTTACTTGAAATGGATCAAGGGCAGGAGGAATTATATTCGATGCAAGTATTTAACTCAATGAATATAAGCATGAAAGATGGATACAACCTGTTCCGTTAGAGCTAAGTTGGCATCAAAAAATGACCTCACGGTTCCAATGTCCTCCCAGTAGTCATTGAATAGATATGCCTGAAACAATTGGGAAACGTAGTTCTATTATCACCAAAAGCCTTCCTCTTCATGAAACACAAAACTTTATCTAAATGGATCTCACTTGAACTTTGTGGTCCTTAACAGCCGATGGAATAATTTCTGAGCCAAAGTCATTGCTTGAGGGATAAGTACATTTCAAAAGCTTTAGTAGAATATCAGTTCTAAATACATAGACTCCCATTGATGCAATATAACGATTTGTTCTTGCATCTTGTTCTGAAAGTCCTAGAACTCTCGTGTCAACTTCCTGCAGTATAATATATGATGGATTCAAAACAAAATCAGACAAAGATTTGAAGCCCCATAAGGAACAGGACTCATAAACTAATTGCATCAATGTTATCAACCATTGCTTTCAGGTCAGATCCCTTTGGTTTCTCTGCAAAATGTAGAATGCGTCCTGTATCATCTATTTTCATGAGACCGTAGTCTGATGCTCGGCTGCAAAATACCGAAGCAATAATGGATATCTAAGAGTTTAAGAACATAGTCATAATAATCATAAGATCATGGCGGCCACGACGAAAGAAAGGCATACCTATCATCCATTGGTATGCATGATACTGTAATATCTGCATCTGTGTCAATATGTCTCTGCACGTTCAAAACAACCAGAAAGCCTCAATGAATCAAACGAAAACAAAAATTTGTGCAAAAAAATGATACGAACAACGACAAACTAGCTATGATTTAACATTATACCTGCACAAAATCCATGTAATCCATCCGGTAAAGGTGATCGCCAGACAAAATTAGAATGTTTTCAACATTTTTGGTCTTAGCAGCCTGCAGAAACCCAATGGTCAAAACGTTCTTTACACACTAAAAAAGCTGATCTTATGCGCCCACCTCAAATAACCATATAAATTGCCTGACAGCATCGGCAGTTCCTTGGAACCACTTCTTTCCGGTTTCACCCTGAGTCTGAGTGGCAGCTAGAACCTGTGTGTCTCAAACATGAATCGGGAGATTGAGCTCGATTAACACAATTGCTAAGCAGGGGTATAGATTGTAACAATGGGAAGAACAGTCATGATACCTCCACGAATCCATCGCCAAAATTCACTCCATTTCCAAAATTGTAAATACGAGCAAGGTGACGATTGAGAGAAAAGGAATTAAACTGTGTTAGAACGAATATCTTTTCGATGCCACTATTGATGCAATTGCTCATAGGTATGTCGATCAGCCTATAACAACCTCCAATTGGAACCTGCAAATCGTGCACTAATTCGTTATCCTGTGTTGGATCAATGGCTTCTTATCTATTATAACCATCTAAACGTCTCCCCCAATCAACAATGCTTTCAAGGTTATGAAGCTATCCTTCAAGATATTAGCGATTTGTTAGGAGGAAATTACCGCAGGTTTGGATCGCTGGCTGGTGAGAGGATACAGGCGAGTTCCAGCACCTCCGCCCAATATGATTGAAGCGACCTTCTTCGGATCAGCTCTTGGAGCCTCCAATATGGGAGCCTGTAAAATCTGAGGCCAAAATTGGAGTCAAAATTCCTGTAAAAGTTCATACTCTTATGAATATCAACAATATCGACGTACCATTGCTTCCTCATCGATATCTGACATGAGAACAGAATGAGCAACTCCTGGCTTAAGCTTTGTAGCGCAGCTCTGAGAAGAAGGATTCTTCCGCGAGTGCACATTCATCTGCATCTGTTTGCATCTTCGAATACTCTCTCCCCAGAGCCCGGAACGTTGATTCCAACCACACTGACCGCCGATTCGAAATGGAATGCTATCGGCCATCAAGGTCATGCCAAACGAATCCATTGTCCGATCAACTGGAGATCAAGAAAGGTACGTTCTCCGATTAGCTAGTCTGAATATGCTGAGTAAATCACACAATAGAAAAAATCAGAAATATATCGGATCTTTTCTAACTAACAATATCTTCACAGAAAAGAGCCGAGTCGGACCAACTCGTTAGCTCAGCATTTCTCTTGGCCTCTTATACTCATCTGTTTGTGACAAATAGTTTTTTCTTTTTTCTTTTTTTTTTTCTTTTTTCTTTTCTTTTTTAAATAATTTTAAAAAATAAATAAAGAATATGATTGGCCTTTGAAATTATTTGTTCTTAAAAAATTTTAATCTATGAAATTAAATTGAGCTTTTTTTTTTCTTTTTAATTTTAATTCTAACTTGAAGAATCTCTGACCATATTCTTAAAATGAATAATTTTTTCGCAATTTCTTGATCCAATTTTTCTATTAATTAAATTCAAATTTTTGGGAATAAATTAACAATTTAAAATTAAAAAACACTCAAAAACTGACTTTTTTTTTTTTTTTAAGAAAACTTTTTTATCCTTGAAATTTTACTCGAAAAAAAAAATGCAATAAAACTGTTGACCCGGTAGCCTGTACTGTGCGGTGTACGGCCCACAGTCACGACATTTATATAGAAAATCAGAAACAGAGGAAGAATATAAATTGTTGACCACAAATTTCAAACGAAATGGACGGTCGATATTCTCCACAAATTTAAGACAGTGGAGATCACGTGACCATCAAATCAAATAACACCTAAAGTTTTCTTTTATGCTGCAATTACTAATTTTCATTATATTTTATTTCGATTGTTTTTTTTTTTAATTTTAACTCAATCATAAATATGAGCATTATTTAGTAATCATTTATTATTATTAATTTAATAACTAAAAAAATAAAATTTCATCCTTAAATAAAAGATTTAAGAACTTATAAAAATGGCTTTTTCTTTCCCCTAGAACCAATTTAATGAGCTTTCTTCTAAAAAAAAATTATGACTAATAAATGTTTCATTTTATCCGATTAATTCATTTCAACTAATCCAACTAAATTATTAATGTTTAAATATATGTTGATGTTTAGGCCCACTAAGCCCAAGATCAAAGTTTAAGGCCCAATACTGGCAGGCCCAAAATAGAAAAACGAGTGAAGTGGAACTCATCTCCCCCATCTGTTCTTCCTCCCACTTATCCTCTCTTCATCGCAACCGCAGCAATGGCGCTCAACCTAACAAATTCCTTTCTTCAACGGCCATTTTCTCCGGCTATCGCACCGCCGAAGAACAAGGTAATTTCCCCGTTTTTTCACTTCTCAATTTTCCGAAGATGGTGACTGTTCATCTCTATTGCCCTAAATTTCTGTGTAATTTCCAGGAGTTGGGAGCGAGACGTTACCGGGCGGTGGTGACCTGCCGGAAAAAGGATATTCATCCCCAATTCTACGAGGATGCGAAGGTTTATTGCAACGGAGAACTGGTGATGACGACCGGTGGGACTCAGAAAGAGTACTCCGTGGATGTGTGGTCGGGAAATCACCCGTTCTATTTGGGCAGCCGCTCCGCTCTGCTAGTCGACGCTGATCAGGTGGAGAAATTCCGCAAGAAATTTGGAGAGCTGTCGCAATTGATGGAGATTCCTGTCCTTAAAGGTGAAATCGTTCTGCCCACAAAACGCAAATCCGGCGGCAAAGGGAAGAAGAAGTAGAAGACTAGGGAATTCAATTAGCCTGGTAACAATTTAAATTCAAATGCATATTGAGATTTTTGGTTCTTCTATTGCATCATATATCTGTGTAATTTATCACAATCGAAACTAATTTGTCTGAATTCAACCGCTTGTTTCTGTCAAATGCCTTGCATTGCCTCGCTGTTCTTTAAATGCTCATTGTTGATGAAGAGTTTGATGGGTCTGCTGTAGACTTGTTCTTCGTCTGTTCAATTTTCTTTCTAGCCATCAGCTGGATACCCATTTGATCATTATTTGGGTTTTAAAACTTGAGCTTATATATAAATGCTTACTTCCTCAGTGAATTTCTTTTTGTAATTTGGCTTAAGAATTCAGTTTTAGCTTAGAATTGATATCAAAAAGAAGAAAATTCATAGAGGGAAAGAAAGTTATAGAGAAATTATAATAGGAATTGTTGAAGTTCTGGGCCACTTCATGGCAGTCTGTTTTTCTGCTACTGAATTGCTTATGAGAGGAAGCCATAGCAAATTACGGCAAGTCTCTATTCCAAGTATTGTTTATTAGAATGAATTTTGTTTAGAGAATTTAAAAGTTCATAGATCTAAGATTGTTTGGAAAATTCGTTTGAATATGGGTGAAATATCTGATCGGATCTTAGGTCCGTTTGATTGAAATGAAGCTCCAGAAAAAACTTAAATGATTCTTAAAATCATCGCAGTATTTATCTTTTAAGTGTAATCTAATCGAGAAATTAATATATACATACACACTTTAATGATTTTGAATTCATTTTAGGTAATGAAATGTTAAACAGTAAGTTAATCATGAACAAGTCTATTTGTCTATGAATTTTAAAAAATGTTTAATAGACGGTAGGGTCCATCTTCTAAGTAGAATACGGTAAGTATGCAACGCACATGACTTTGTATAGCCTCAAAATGAAAATCATTTACATTGTATTTCAATAGTTGTAACTTTAATATTTATGACCACACGGTGTGTAGATGTAACATTAAAGTAAATAAAAAATTTTAAAATACATTTATAAAATACAAGCAACCCAGAGTTTGTAATCGGGGAATAAATGAAACTTGGTTCTCTCTAATGTTGCATGAATTGCAACATCCTGTGACAATTTGAGCAATATTTTATTTGTATCTTCCTTAAAGTTTATATTGAATGATTGATGTCTTAGTTCATATCAACGTTTCTCTTGAAAAAAGAGGCTACACAAGAGGGGTCGGGATGCGTTTTCCTATCAAACAAAAAGCTAAAAAAATGGATATGTCTCTTTATCAAACAAAAAGACAAGAAAGTGCATAGACTCTAGATCAAACAAAAGAAAATAAAGTGAGACATGTCTCCTTATGAAACAAAATATAATTTTTATTTTTTATTTTTTATTTGAACAAAAATAAGTTATTTATCTCCTTAATTATCATTAATTCCCCAACCCTTGCCAGCAAAGTACTGAATATACCTAATTTATAAATTTTTAAAAATTTAATAAAAAAGCTCAACTTAAGATTAGTAAGCCAATAAACATAAATACAATTTAAATTGAAATAAAATCTATTATAATTATAAATGTGGTTGACATGTACTCCAAATGAAATAACTAAATAAAAACTCACAAATGGTTGAAACCCATATTTCTAATTATTCATATCACTTCTTGACAAAAGAAATGACTAAATTGGTATTTGTAACTGTATTCTGTAACAAATAATCTTCAACAATAGCTTCATAACCCTCGAACAGTTCATCCATAATTTCTCCTCCAAATCCAAAATGAGACTCCAACATCGTTTCAACCACAGCTCTTATTGTCTTTGCCACTCTTTGTCCTCTCGACAAACTCTTGAGCCCACTATTAGCCCCCTCTGCCAAGCCATCCCATTCCACGTCGAACTCTTCGAACTGATCTATATCGAACGACCCTTCCTTCTCTATCTCCATCCTCACTTCCTCCATGCATGGCGCATAGAAAGGTGCATTAAATGACTCGATCTTTTCCGCATCAACCAAACCCTATCACACAAAAATATTAGAAACCATATGATATTATCCACTTTAAGCTTAAGCTCGGTAGCTTTACCTGAGAAACGAGGGTGGTTAAAGCCTCAGCCAAGAGCTCCCACTGATGGGCGGTACCAGCAGCTGTGGGGTCCATCGATTTCCTTCCCATGAAAGACAAAACCATACGCCCACCAGACACCATCTCTTCAGAGCGCGAGCTTATGAAACGCGAGAAGTCATTCCTGAACTGAGCAGCGTAAGCCAACAAAACACTCGGCGGGCTTGTCCGAGAAATATAAACCTGCCCTTTATTCATCCTTATTTTGTCCTCTCCTTCCAAACCTTCAGGAACCTTCGACAGCCAATGGAGACTAGAAGTTGAATGCACAAAATTCAAGCTATGTTTAGGAAACAACCTTCCATAGAAAGAACCCGGCACGCCGGAGATAAAACACCGCCCAACTTCATCACCGTTTGTGTCCTTAAGCCGCCGGTGGAAATCCGGCAACGACCCGAATATGCTATTGAAGTCGTTGTTGAAAAGGTCGTTCAAGAACACGGAAACTTCAGGCAGCGGGTAGCCAAGGCGTTTGCATTTGGCGTAAACAAGGTTGATAGTATCGAAGATTAGAAGCAATGCGTTGCGCCCAGAGGAGCAGCCCAAATCCGCAATGGCAATGCTTTGCGGCGGCGAAGCGCTGGCAGCGTCGGTGCTTATAATGGCCTCCACCGCTTTCTCGGTGATCGGCATGGAGTCGGATATGATCTTTTGCTGAAGGGACGAGTTTTGCGTGTAGCTCGTCTCTCCAGCTCCCTTGTTCATACACAAAATTTGCGCAACTTCCATTTTCTTTTCTATTTTTTTTTTTTAGTTTAATTCGTAAGCAAATATATGAATTAATAGATTGGTGAAGAAAATGGTGGAATTTGTACACCTATTTATAGCCTCCAAAAAGGAAACGTTATATAAACGTATGCGAAATTGCAATGGTGGGTCAACGTGGGTTTCTTTTTAGCACTTCAATAATGTGTTGTTTGTGCCCGTAGATATTGAAAATTATTGTTTTTATTTGTTTTATTATTAAAAAATAAAATCAACAATAATATTTTTATATTATATTCCTATTTAAATGTTTATTATGCATTTTATAACAAGAAATAAGAAACTTATTATTTTATCTTGTTTTATTTCAAAATTCTATCCAAATTTTTTAGAGCAGTAGAAAAAGTTATCAAATAGGTGTATTATTTGAAAATTGAAAACAAAATCAGAAAATGAGAAATAAAAATAATATCTTGCCTAACAATTTTATTTTTTAATTTTTTTAAAAACATGGCATCAATCAATTCAACAACTTGAAATCTGCCGACCAACACAATCAATGACAGGAAGATGCCCTTTGGAAAATTGGGTTCTTTTCGCATTTAAAATAAAGCACTATATTCTTCCATCATTATTTGTGGGAAATTTAGAAGAAATTATTATGGTAGACGAAATTTAGAAGTTTTTTTTTCCTAATTAAGAGTGTATTTTAAAAAATTAATATAAATATTTTAAAATGAGAAAAATAATTATACTTTAAAAATCACCACGTAGAGAAATTGAATACCAAATTTTTTCAAAATCCACATACTATACGCGTGGTCGACGAAATTTACTAATTTCTAACAATACGTTAGTATTATCGACTTAATTATTGAGATCTCGAAATTCGTATTTAAAGGAGGGAGATTGAAATAGTTACTATATGAAATTTACTTATTTCCATTTAATATAAATATATAAAAAAATAATAATAATGAATGGAATCTGGCTTTAGACATTTGAGCTATTGTTGGACAGTCAACAAAGAATCGACCATTGGATTTTAAAGGTTTTTATATTTTATATTTATAAATCTTAATTATGTTTTATTTCACTTTTTAAAAAAATTATTATTTTTTTAATAGGATTGAGAACTACAATGAAAGGAATTGTAGACCTTGAAGAATTTTCAAAACCGTTGATTTGTTTTATGTTATCATTATTGTCTCTTGCTATTTGTATGTTGTATCACTCTTATGGGTATTTTTTATGACATTTTAAAATTTAATATTAGAATATTATTATTTGCCATTCATTAAAGCATATTATTATTTTCTATTTGATATTGATTACCTCTTATTATTTAAAAATGTATGTTTAAAAAAATTAAAGAAATAAAAATAAAAAAAAAAACAAAAAGAAAGATTAAAGTCGTTAACTCCCAATGGAACTTCTGATAAATCAATTCATCGATCTAACTCATAATATTTAAAAATTTGATTTCTAGAGTTTGAAAACGTACCTAATCAGTTTGAACATTGGTTTGGATAGAAAATCGATCTCGACCTACCGTGTTTATCCCTTTAATTTTGTTATCAGCAAATTTTATCATCAGATATATTTTTATTAATTAATTTCAAAATTAAATGTTGTCTTAGAGAAAAAAGAAAAAATTATATATTCTTATTCCCTCTCTCTTTTATGGAACGCCCTTCTCGCATTTTTTTAACGTGGGTACTTTATTATTTTATTATTTTTTATTTTGATTTTGTGTGTGAAAGAAAGTAACTAGTTTAGGGTTATGTAATTTTGACTTTAAAAATTATAAATATATTCTTACGGTGAAAATTTTAAAAAGATCATCCAATTTACTTAAAACAAATTTCTATTATTAAAAGTATATATATATATATATATATGTATGTATGGTATTATATGCAAAAATGAATATATTAAAATTAAAAATTGGATGATAGTGAGACGAGGTGTGGATTTTGTGCTGTGAAAGGCTGAATATCATTAATAGGTAGTCCACTGATTTAATGCCACGTTTTTTTTAAATGTGTCCTTAAGGGTCAAATGCCAATAAGGTAGTTCATTAATTTATTGTCATTTTTTTTAACGTGATAAATGTTTATTTATTTGTTTTTTACCTAAATATATATATATATATATATATATATATATATATATATATATATATATATTAGAGACGGAAGACAAAAAAAAAATACATTATAACATTTAAATAATTCCCTTAAAAGAAATTAGAAGGCAAAATTCATAGAACTTAGCATATAATTTAACCAATTAAAAAGTAAATTAAGGATAAATTTCAAAATTCAAAATTTTTAGCATTGGATTTAAACGGAAATTTTTTTGGATTCATGAATATTTTTTATACATTTTTTTACTTTTGAGTCATGTACCTATTAAATTCATCTGATTCATCTTCTATATTGGTATATATATCATCTT